TTCCATTTTCCATGAAAAATAATGGACAATCAAACATGGCCTAAATAAAAGCAAAAACAGAAACTCTATCGAATGGATTCTAATTATGTTGTATTTTCAAGAGTGTTTAAAGAGAAGCTAAGTCATTATATAACCAAGTGGAGTCCATGATACGTCGCCCTTAATTTTAATAAGTTATACGTATCATAGCAAGCAAAATTTATGAAGCAGAAAAGGAAATCTCAAAAGCAATACTCTACCTATTATAATACTATCAATAAACAGTATGCATTGGAATATTTAGAATATTTTTTTTGGGATCAAGTATGTCACAATCACTCAATTTAAATAAGAATTCTTTAGAAATGGATCAATGAGTACAAGAACCAGTTGTCGTTAGGCAGTATAACATCTTAATTCATTAAAATTTGTTTGGCCATTTGAAAGGAAACAGGAGAAATCCAAAAGAATTTGGGTAATAGAAATTTTTTTATGACAGCTAATACATTTTAACAGACAGAGGACACATATACGAAGGCTCTTCTGTCTTTACAATAATTGTGCGTAGGGAGGTAAGCAAAATCTATTGAATAGAAAATTAAATCAAGTCGTTTTGAAATTGATGTTGTGTTGTCATGCTGACTTGTCAATGAAACGATTTTGAACCAATCTAAAAAAAGATTTCAATATTTTATCTTCGCTTTCAAACCATATGGGACTACTCGTCCATACACCAAAGAGTGGATTGTATGGTTTTTTTTTTTTAGTTTTTTAGTTTTTTAATTACTTTTCTGTAAAAAAAAAAAAAAAAAATTTACTTGTGGGCTCAATTTCATCTTCTTTTTATATTAAGTATATGAGAAATTTACATCGAAATAATTTAAATTCATGTCTATAAATGGAAACGAAGTCAAATATCAAAATCATTTCTAGCAGCTATTTTTAGCTCGTTATTTAATGATTTTTTAATTCAAATAGTGCATTGCGTCTTTGAATTGTTACTTTGAACTCATCGTTTAATGATTTTTGACATGAAAAAAGTGTTATAACTTCATCATGAATACTTTGAAATGGTATCGAAAACTTATCCCAACAAATAAAGAACATAATTCGAAAATGTGTAACATCAAAATACGAATTAAATTATAAATAATAAAATTATTAATATGTCTAAACAACTATATTTGACTTGATATTTGAACTCTCGTTTAATGATTTTGCAATCCCAAAAATGTCTTGCAAAGAAACCAAACAAATTTAGGCCTCCCACAATAAATTTTTGGCTCTGCAAAAACCATTAGTTCTCACTGTTTCACAATGGGATCGTCAAGATCTTGTCGAGAAGCATCAAGTTGTATTGTGACTTTATATTTTGTGTAAGAGAGTTGCACAGTGACTTTATATTAGCTTTTATTTTGTACAATTTTAGCCTAAAAAAGTAAACAAAATATTATGCTTTGTTGTTATTGTGGTTATAAGAGATTTAGATAAAAATAATGTATAAGAAATTAACTAGTGACATTAAAATTGATGACAAAAAGCAGTTTAAAGCCAAACCCAACCCTTTGGTTTAGGTGTAGTTTAATCCATTTTAAATAGTTTTGTTTATATTTGAATTTTTTCTCAAATTGCTTTAAACGGGTTGCTTCTAAAATATGTCAAAAATTGCCCAAATCAAATTGTTTATGCTCGTAGGTATGAGTAGCACTAACGATGCATTTGATTGTCCATATTTTCCATAAAAAAAATGTATTTTTTCATTCAAATTCTTACTTTTGTACTGTTTGATTAAACATTTATTAAATGAAATATATTTTCCTACTTTTCCACATGATCATATTTTTCTCAAAGTCAAGGAAAATATTTTCTTTAGAAGGAATATAAATTTATTTTACAGGGAATTTAGTTTCTCTTTCTCTCTCTCATCTATGCACGTTCCCTCATCTACTTATCAATAAAAAATTAACAAATATAATATTTTCTAGTATGAAATCCAAATCAATCAACCACATTTATTAATACTTCTCATACAAATAAGTTCTAGGCAATTAAATTGTTTATAATTTATTTTCATGCAAATTCATGCTTGCAATCAAATGCACTTTAAGTGTTTTAGAAACTGTGAAAACCCAAATTTGTTTAATGTAAAAATCAATGTCAACTTATTTAGTGAAATATTGTTATACTCTGTTTAACATAAAGTATTCATTTTAATTCGGTGGCTTGTTATATCCTAAGTATCCGTGCCATGAGAAACTTTCTTAGTGTTTGTTTGATAGAAATTAATTGAAGCGAAAATAATTATTATTTATTTCTGAAGAATGTGTGATAAAAAATAGAAAATAATTTCGAGCTCATGTGCTTATTAGATGATGTATAGTTGAAAATAAATTAAAAAAAAAATACTTTTCATATAAGACAACAAAGTATATTCTTAGAGTTTATCGATTTCTACTGGTTAGGTGACAAATTAAATTTTTGAAATTGGTTTCCTACTAAGTACATATCACTAGACTTAATTATATCCAAAATTGTTAATTGCACGTTGACTTTAATCCAAATGCCTCGTGGGTCATGCCTATAAGGGAAGAAAAATTGCCAACTCTTAGCTTGACAAATTTGCCCAATTTGAGGATTAAAGACATAACCAAAAGAAAATGGTGACAATTACATTTATGCAATTGGTTCCTTATTTGGTACGTTATTCAATTGAATTGACAATATTTTAGACCCTTAATCATATTTTGCATATTTCTATTGTATTGACAATAAAGTAGTTGATGATTTAAGCATTTATTTTTCGAATTTCTTGCTTGCAAAATTCAATGTGGCACGAAAGTCTTTGATTGTTAATGTGTGTTTTAAAATATGAATGACTAAATATTATACAAATCGAATTACGGGGTGTTCTCAACTAAGATTTTGATTTATTTTAAAAATATTATAAATCCTAATGAAATTCTTGGATTTAAATAGATTTCCACAAATTTCATGAGAATATCATCAAATATGGTAAACTTTCAAAAGATTTGATTATATATATTTTTAAGTTTAAAAGCCATCCAAATATCTTAAAATCCATCTATTAATGAAACCTGTATAAATCAACTAGTTATTGAGAATACCTAAATTTCAAATGATTTCATTGAATTTTATTAAAATTTCAATTGATGATACCTGAATTTAATGAAAATTTTAAAATCCATCAAAATCACAATTGAAGGCATCCCCCAAAATTTTCCCTAATTTTTAACAATATATATATATATATATATATATTTAAAAATCACTATTACAAAATCAATTATTCCAAAAAAAAAAAAATAATAGAATTCAATCAATGGCTAATTTAACGCATCCCCAAAAAATGAAATTCAATACACGGGCGAAACGCGTCATTCCATGATTCCTTGGTGCACACCCACATGGCTTTCTCAGAACAATGGTTTATTTTCTTGTATATCTAATTAATTTCTATTTAATTGAAAATCCGACAATCTAAATAAAAACAATAAAGCTGAGTGTACATGCTTCGTTTTAAAGGGTCTTTTACGGGCCTTCTCACATAAGGTGGATCCCGCTTCATTAAAAATATACCCCAAAAATGCCCCACCCACGTATGTCATGAGGAGTTTGTAGGGTTCTGTGAACCCCACTCTGGCAATGCAGCACTTCTCAAATAAAAATTGTTGATTTGAAAAATAGAAAGAAAACTCATTAATGTAAAAATCAATGTCAACTTTATTGGGTTGGAGAAGTAACCAAATTGGTAGGGTCAATATTTTCTATGACCCAATGTAATACCACGGGACGCAACCCAAAAACAATGTTAAAAGTCGTGAACAATAATGTAAATTACTAGGAGAAGCATCCTCATTTGTGAAAATTTTGCTGGATGTTACTTCAACTTATAGGTATGTTTCATGTTGATAATTTATCAATTTAACTACCAAATTTTTATTATGTTAAAATTTCGCTAATCCATTTACCAACACTGCTTGAATATGGAGCATCACTTTTTGTGACACTAATTTTTTCGTGACACGAAGCATCATTGTGCCGCCGTTTGAAAATCATCATTTGGGAAAAATAAAGTTTTGTATAGGGATTTTTAAGAGAATGTGTAATTAAAAAAGTAGGGAAAAGTTTTAAATTTACGTACATAATATTTTATTATGTGAATATGTAGTTTAAAATGAATATGTAGAAAAAAGAATTTCTAAATATTCGTTGTCGAACAAAGGCTAAATACAAGGATGATCATATTGCGTTAAGGGAGTGGTTGGCTCCCAAATGAAAAACTCTTAGTAAGTTCCAAAGCCTAAATTTTAATATAGGGCATAATTGTGTCTCTCTTTATCAACTATTGCTTTTGGGAAAAGTGATTACTTTTTAATATTAAGGAGTACACGATTTTTCGTTTTTCAAATAATGGGTCTTTCATCATGAAAATTGCCATGTATATTAATTAATCCATCATTCTAACTAAGAGCTTGATTGTTACAGATTTTAAACTAATTAACATCAATTTTTTGATAGTTATTTTACTATTTCAACTGTAATTTTTGAATTCTTCTTTCACGAGTAGAACTTCCTTTATCTTTAATAGTTTAAAAATCAATTATCAAAATTCGTACTAAATAAGCATTAATTCTCAAAGTTAAATGTCATGAATTCTATCTGACTCACTAAACATTACAAATCAAATAGTCAAACTGAAATGAAAATATAAGCTGAGTGATAAAACTGAAACAAAAATCTATGTTGAGTGACTATGCTGAACAGAAATATAAGTTAGGTGACCAATAAGTAATAAAATTGAAGTTGAGTGACTAACAAAAATAAATCTTTTAAGTTGGATGACCTCCATTAAAATTTACCTTATACTTCCCATCTTTCCTCCTCCGTGGACCAACCTCCACTACAAAAATCATATACAAATACATTACACAAAATAAGATAAATGAATATAGGTTTCCACCCTGTTTCTTCCTCAGGGGCTAACCTCCATTAAAAAATCTTATACAATATATATATTTGTGTGTGTGTATATATAGACACAGCAGAAGCCATTTCATTCATAATAATCTCCTCCCTCCACTTTTCATCATAAAAATTCTGAAAACGCAAAATATTGAGAAAAATCAGTAAACATATCTCAATGTTTGTGTTTTATGTTTTCTTAGTATTTTTCTTGATTATATTGTTAATATTTCTTGTTCGAATATTTCTTCATCGAACTGCTTTAATCTTTGTTCTGAGGAAGTGGGGCGAATGGATATCAGATAGGATTCATGTTCATCAGCACTTGAAGGTCCCTGAATTCAACGAAAACTGTCAGCAAAATCAGTTCTACCAAAAGGTTTCAGTTTATGTAAATTCATTGGCTTCTGTTGAAGATTCCGATTTCACCAATCTTTTCTCCGGCAAGAAATCGAACGACATCGTTTTGTGCCTCGACGACGATCAAACAATCACTGATACTTTTCTAGGAGCACGAGTTTCATGGATGAACAAAATCGGTAGAAATCATCGGAGTTTTGTATTGAAGATTAAGAAGAAGGATAAGAGGAGAATCCTGAAGCCTTATCTTCAACATATACATACAGTTTCTGATGATATTGTTCAAAGAAGAAAGGATTTAAAGCTACACATAAATACTGATTGTACTTGGAGATCTCTCCCTTTTGAACATCCTGCGAATTTTGAATCGATTGCTCTCGATCCAGATTTGAAAACCAAGGTGAAATCCGATCTTGAATCATTCATTAAATCCAAGCAGTATTATCAAAAGCTCGGCCGCGCGTGGAAGCGGAGCTACCTTCTTTACGGTCCGTCTGGCACCGGAAAATCCAGTTTCGTTGCAGCAATGGCGAATTTCCTTTCGTACGATGTTTACAACGTTAATTTATCACAAGTTTCCGATGATTCCCATCTTAACATGCTTCTGCTGCAAACGACATCAAAGTCTTTGATAGTTGTTGAAGATTTGGATCGGTATGTCGCTGAGAAATCAACGACTATTACTTTATCTGGGCTGATGAATTTCATGGATGGGCTTCTGGGTTCAAGCTTTTGTGATGGGAGAATTATGGTTTTTACGATGAACAGTAAAGAAGGAATTGATTCAGCTCTTTTAAGGCCTGGAAGAATTGATTTTCATATTTATTTTCCTTTGTGTGATTTCAATTCATTCAAGAGTTTAGCCGGCAGTTACTTAGGGGTTAAGGAGCATAAACTGTTTCCACAAGTAGAGGAAATTTTTCAGACCGGCGCCACCATGAGCCCGGCGGAGATTGGGGAACTGATGCTAGTGAACCGGAGTTCGCCGAGCCGGGCATTGAAATCGGTGATCACAGCTTTGCAATCAAACAGAAGAAGCAGCGTCGGCAGTGGTGGTGGTGGAGGAAAGTTTGGACATAGGTTGAGCGAGAGCGCGGCGTCATCACCGGTCCCGCCGTCTACTGCTGAGGATGCCAGTGGCGTGGCCTGGAAGGACACGGTGGTGCCGAAGGAGTTTCGGAAATTGTACGGACTGTTTAGATTAAAGAGTGGCAAGAAACCGGAATCGCTAGATCATGATCAAGAGATTATCGAACGGTGACAAAGTCATCAATGATACGGTGTTTTTTATTTTTATTTTTATTTTTATAATCATTTTCCATTTAGAAAGTTGATTTTAGTGATATGGTTTTTAAATTTCTAGTTGTGAATACACATTTGAAGTCAATTCAATGGGTTTGCAAGACTGTAACGCGTAAAAAATTCATAGGCATACCTATGTTTTTACAGCTGTGTAGTCATAGAATTTTAGTTTGTAAATTTAGGAAATGTATCAAACTGAAGTGTTAAAAAATATTTTTAATTAGAGAAATGTCACAAATAAGTTTTTTCTAATTCGTGGGGAAAAGAAGGAGATGATTGCGATCGGACCTTCACTTTCTGAACTCCTATATGGTGTCAATAAATCCAATTGGTCTTGCCAATGGCACAAATAAATTTAGGGTTCTTATATTTTGTTGGAAAAAATAGATTGAGTGGCTAACTTTGACACGAAATTTGAGTGGGACCCAGTTGACTATTTTGGAAGTTGAAGATTGATTTGTATATCTAAATTGCATAGACGATATGTGTTAATCCGGTATTCATTCCCAATCATTCCATCTGGTACATTTAGTCCAACGTATTTTTCATGAGAAATAAAGAATATTTTACGTGGTCGTCATCCAACTCAATTTCCATATGACATTTGTGATGCTCTGATTCCTACTCTCACGAGTGCCACTTAACATGATTTCAGTTATTGTAGCCAACAATGTCAATTCATGTTATAGAAATTGGGGAAGCACTTAAAAAGTTTAAAATTTCGGAAAAATTAGATTTGAACGATGTTTATGTGAAAATTGTTAAGCATAACACCGGTCAAGCATCAGCCAACGGGATATGTGTTCAATCACTAAGCACAAACCAATATTTATAGCGTTCATAGCACAAGAGACATCGAAGTTTCATACACACCACACAAGCCTCGCAGATCTCACAATTAAAACAAATTTACTAAGCTGTCGCGTCGCCTTCTCTTCTAATAGTGTTACCACCAAATGAATTTCATTTGAGAGAAACAAGTTTTCTCGAAACAATGTATCAATTCAAGTAACACCAGAAGCATTGGCTTTGTATGCTCTCTGTACAAGCATTGAAAAGAGTTTATTAGCCACAATTTAAGTCGACAAGTTCAAGCAATCTTTGAACTTGTTTAAATGAAGAATTTTCATACCCTTTCTTGATCACTTATATTGAGTTGGGATTTATCAAGTCTTAGTAAATATTTTTCTATTCACGAATGAAATGGAACTAAACAAGTTTTTTCCTATCATAAAACATGGATTTTCTACTCAGATGAATAGGACTTCGGTTATGTATGAAAATCTGAACTTGATTATCAACAAATCCTAACTTATATAGTAATACTCTAAGACATAGTCCCTCTTAAAATGCATCAATACATCGATGATGCCTCGTTTGGCTCCCATTAAATTAAATTTCATTTTTCTCTCTCCTATTTTCATTCACACGATTTTTCATAAAATAATATTACATATAAATCGAAATTTTTTCCTTCTTTTTTAACCACTCTTTCTCCAAAAAATTCTATTCCCCCCATTTTGAAGATGTGATTTCCAGCTTATACAAGATCCACACAAGGTAAACATGTATGCAGACGTAGATCAATTTCACCAAGGAATTCTGAAACTATGTAGCCCTTCAACTCAACCCCTTTTATCTATTCTAAGCCACAATACTAAGCCGATAGTACCTCTCAAGTACTTTAGCAACCACTTCATGACATTTCAATGAAGATCTCCTGGATTTGCCTTGATTTTATTAAGATACTTGTGATGAAATTACTCGCCAAGACCTTTGATTGTGTGCAATTAAGAAGCACGATACTTGTAAACTTGTTACGTACCTTATTTGATACGTATCTGAGCCTTGATACCCTCTGATATGTACTGGATACTTTTTTTAATTATTTTTAAATTTTTTAAATTTTCAATACGTATCCAATAAATATTTTTTAATTATTTTATATTTTTGTATGATTTTCAATACATATCTGATACTTCATGGTTCATATGCACCTTTACTACAAAACATTGATTTGAAATTTCTTGTGGAACCTTCTTCTTCATCAAGTGCTAAAAGAAATTGGAGTACTCACTCTTTTGTGCACTCTACGAGACGGAATACAATTGAAAATTTGATTTTCATTCATAACAATTTGCGTCTCTTCTCAAGAAAGTTAGATCTCCACTCAAAAGGAGATCCAAAATGTGGGCCTACTTGAGGTTGTAAATCTCTCATTAGATGAGCCAAAGTTGGAGAACGTTATTTTTAATGATAATGAAGAGATTAATATCGATAAATTTTGACAATTAATGATTCAGTTGAAGTACTTTAGTATTTTATTTTATTTTCATTATCATACTTCTGTATTAATGTTTTTATATTAGTAAAATTATGTTGAATTTTATAACACCTACTAATGTATCTTAATTTTTTTTTTTTAAAAAAAAAAGTCTTATAGTCATATCTTTGTATCCAAATTATATATCTATATCTGTGCTTCTTAGGTGTGTAAAAATGGGCTCACTTTCTCTAACAAACATCAAATAATCAACAATTGATTGCTCAACCCACAAAGGATCACTATGGTTGCCCAATTGAATATCCCACAAGGGGAGAAAATGGTGGCTGCAATATATCACGAAGAAGAAGAAGAAAGAGAGCAGTTTAGGTCACTGTTTCACCAAGAACACGAGAGCAAAACGCCTACCTCAATTCCATTGCAAAACAGGGTATTTGATACGAAACAATGCTTATTCAACATGTTAAATCAGGTCTTGAACACACCATAAAATACATAAATGCTCTCACTGTATTTGCATAAGGAATTTTGCTCATTTTATCAAACTCGTCTTGAAACAGAGGAGAATGTTTACCGGACAATTTATATTCACTTCCTAATGGCAGTTATACTAGTTTGGCTTCAGTCATATTATTTTCCAATGTAGAACTTCTGTCTAAGAAAACCTGTGTTATCCTTCCTATTTCTTCTTACGTCCATACCTAAAATTCTCTTAGCAAGAAAGTTCTCTTTATAATCAGTTCCTTCTCTTTGACTAGCCTAGCCTTGTACCTTATATCATCTCCTTTATTCTCTCCAATTTTTAACCTTAAAGACTCTCTTGCAGTCTATAACTTTATATCATTAGGCTTTTACCAGTATGCAGGTCTGATTTTTGTGCAAAAATTTCAGCTCCTCTTGTATTGCTGCAAACCAAATTCTGACTTCTTTGCATCTAAAAGCCTTTTCATGTTTTAAAGAATCATTGGTCAAGACATAATGATCCTTGTATAAGGACATAAAATCACCATTAACAAATCTAGTTGAAGGTCTTACATTCTTCGTTTATCTATCTCTAGTTAACTGATTATCATTAAAGGGTTGGGTTACAGGTTGGTCTTCCTCAATATCTATATTTTCTTGAAAATGTTGCTATGGATTCATATCCTCACTATAAGAAGGAAAAACTTGAAGCCTGTACTGGTTCGAACTGATGCTGGCCCAAGAAGTTAGCATGAAAATATTCTAGTCAAGAAGAGGAATGTGAACTGCTGTTGTCAAAGACAATCTCTGTTGCTTTCCCATAATGCACTCTTCACACAATTGCATTTTATCTATTATGTCTTTACCAAATGCTTTTTATGCTTTAAGAAGCTGGAGTGACTTCCCACCAATGTGACCCACTTTTCGTACTGTAGTTTGGTTTTGGAGTCCTTATATCTAAAAAAGTGGAAATCTTTCCAACTAATGGGATAGCTTTTAGTGTATAGATGTCATTCACTATAGGGGTGACTATGATTTACAAAGGAGTTCTTCTTCACTCTAGTGTCACCTCTTTAATGTTTTTATCATAATCAAGGTCATCTAAGAGACTTAAAGATATAAAAGATGTTTAGTCTTATCTAAATTAAGGTCTGGTCATCTATAATTTGAAGGAGATTTTACCAATTCCCTTAATTTTGCAACAGATATCATTCCGCATCAATAATTAATTTCCTTTTGTGTGAACTTTTCTGAGCTTCTGCTTCCTAGCGGATTTCAGTTAAAATCTTTCGAGTTCTTCGACAGAAATTTGTGTGACGAATTTCTTGTATTAAAATTTAGAAATCATTACAAATTGTATTTTAAGAAATACAAGTGGATGTTAATCTTTTTGTAATTGCAAAATTACAAAAATCCTCTAATTAATGATCTGAACGTTTGAAAACGAAGGGCAAATCTAGTTTAACCAGGACTGGCATTTCAAGGGCATGATCCAGTTTAAGCATGTGTCGTGTGTCAAGCTGTGCCGGGCTGACTCAATAGCAAGGACACCATCAAAGCCTACATAGAAGGTTAAGAATAAGCCAGTTTGCTTAACTCTACATTATTTCATAAATATGACTCACAGCAAATGTTTTGGTAGCCTAGGACATGTCAATGAAAAATTATGAACCAATTGAAGCAAATACATGTACAGACACTTAGGAGTGGGAGAGATTTTACTATGTATTTAGTCACCAAACTCTTGGACATCCCAAACATACACTATGCTCACAAAACTATTTGATAATATGCCTAAACCAACTCTTTATCTCTACAACAAGCTCATCTGAACCTCTTAGATGCTATACCAAGGGTATTATCCTATTGCATATTATTTTTACCTTTCTTTTTGTTACCTGTGCCAACCTTTCTGTCCATTCCCAAGGCTAAATGCTTCATGCTCATGTCATTCAATTTGGCCTACAGAGTGATGTTTATGCGCTAATTGTACTAGTTAACATGTACGCCTAAATAGATTTGGTGTGTTTTCCTCTAAAATAGATTGATGAGATGAGTGTAAGTACATTCCGAGTTGGAATTATTTAATTGCTGGGTACATGAGGTGTGGGGTTTTGGATGAAGCTTCTCGTTTGTTCTCGGCTATGCCATAGAGGAATGTGATTCTTAAACAGCAATGATATCAGAGGACAACACAATGGGAAACATATGGAGGCTTTGGAAATTCACTTGGAAATTGAGGAGGGGTGAATAGTAAAGCCTAATGAAGTGACTATAGCTAGTGTTCTTGTGCAAATCTTGGGGCATTAGAGGTTGGACAATGATTGAAGCTCATGCACAAGCGCATGATTATTTGAAAAATATGTTTGTTTGCAATGCAGTGCTTGAGTTGTACACAAGATGTGGTAGAATTGACAGAGCATTGCAAGTATTCGATGACATTACTAGACGTAGAAAATTGTGTTCCTGGAGTACTATGATCATGGGTTTAGCAGTCTGTGGAAAA